TTTTTGAAACTGCTGTTTTTCTTTTTGTATAAATATCCTGTGAGGAACATTCAGATAAATGTGACTGAATATCAGTGTCACTCATATTTAAAGTGTAAACAAGGGAAATAGTGTTCTGTAAAAACATCAGTTAAAGTTTATTATAGAATAAGATATGACCAAAGTAAATTTTCGTTTTGATGAGGTCACGATATAGTTTTGTCTTCTAGGGATTAAATGTACTGGCACCTTCTTTTAATATGTGATGCATCGTTTTTGTGAGTTTTAGACTTCTAGAGCATCAGTGGGAGGACAAACCCGAATAAATTGCACAATATGTTATTAAACAATAAATAAATAAAAAAAACAACAACAATGAGGACCAAATGTTTTTTTTTTTCTTTTGACTTCTTGTCCCAGTCAAGACAAGCAATACAGGGCAGTTTGCCCGAAATCTTCCCTGAGTTGCTTCACTTGGCTTCCATTAAAAAATAGATCTAGATGATATTTTTAGCAACACATTGCAGAATTGTATCTGCTGTTACAACATCTACCCCTGGTCCTGAGTCCCCATGGTCTACGTTTTCTAGACTAAATGTTGTTGGAAGGTTCTTGTCCTCAAAAGCGGTTCTTCTTCTATGTCATTTGAACAATTTTACAAAATCTACAATTTTCTTTTGTCCATTGTAAAAAAGCTATTTTATGTCTTCCAGAAACATCTGATTTCTCATAACCAAAATAATCCAAGGTATACAGAGCAGTGTTTTGCATGTGAGATATTTAATTTAAATAATAAATACATATAGTGTCCAGAAATTCTACTTCAACTAAGAATAAGCTAGGGCAATGTTGGATTTTTAAATTTTCCATCTTTCAGATGTCCTTCTTGGAATTTCTAACAAGGGAAAGTTTTTTTTTGCAATTTTACTGTTGTTTCTTGAACAATCCTTTCACCAGTTAGAACATAAATGTAATTAAACGTGATCTCTTGAGAACCGGATAATTATGCCACTACTTCCCCATAATGCAAAGGGTGTGGGTGTGAATCAGCTTGCCATCTCAGACATTAGATGCAAACAAATGTGTTCTTCTTGGGGAACGTAACTTTTTAACATTAATTTTGTACAACTTCTCATGTTGTTCTACCACCACATTTCTTCACTGCACTACATGCTCTTGTAACCTCAAACCTGCCTGTTAAACATACTTTGAAAAATGCAGCATGATTGTCTTTTACCTTTCAGTTATCTGAGAAGGTATTTAATTTTTCAGTTTTAAATGTTTTGACATAAATGTTCTTAAACCTTGTTTTTGTTTGCTTTGTTGGCTGTAGTTTGCAATTAGATTAATATTATAATGGGAAAACATTTCCTTCATGTTAAAACAAGCTGCTGCCTCTTTATTTATCTCATGTTCAAGCTGGAAGACGAATGAAAGTTCTTCACAATTAGAACCATAGAGACCCATGTATTTCCACTTAGAACTAATTAGTATCTGGTTAGTGTAAATAGGTCAGAGTAGATATAGAACTGCAACTCAGAAAACCCTCTTTGTCACACACAACTGTAAACTTGCCATAACTGCCAAGCCTAAAATATTATAATTTACAAAAATATAAACAAACAAAACAAACCTTCAGAAAGATTGAAGGTCAAATTTTAGATGAAGCAAATGTGTTTAAAAATTTGTATCTGAACAAAAGCCACATTTTTTTCTTGTCAACAGCTAATTAAAAATAAATCCGCTAAGTCTTTAATTTTGATTTCACACAGCACACAAACCCCATTTTCACGGGTTAAAGTCCTGTGTTTCATCTTTAGCCACATTTACTCGACTATAGGAAGAGTTGCACTTCAGTACCCCCACAAACTTGCAACGCTATGGCATGGCGATCTTAGATTAATATTAACATGGCGTATATGATACATTGCCAACACGAGGACAACTACGCCAACTACGCGCATTGTTGAGCATATGGTGTAATCACTAATTGCGCCCACAGCCAGTCTATGGAGAGTATGTTCATTTTATAGTAATCCAACTTCCCTTAAGTTGGCCACAACTATTGGTGAGAAGATCTTAAAATGGATTCGTATCTACTGCCTCTCCCCCTTTCATTGAAAACATGTCAAAACTTTTACCCAGTGGACTTAGATTTTTAAACTTTGGCTCCAATGGGGCCCATTAGCCATGGACACCCTCCAAAGCACCTCTCTATAAACTTTGCAGTAGAAACTAATACTTTCTCAACATCAGCAACTATCAAACAGCAAGACTGAATATTGTTACATTAAATATTCGATAAGTTGTGTAAAAAACAACAACAACAACAAAATGCCGCAGAGTGAATAGTATAATGTGCTCTGTGGGAGTGCTTTTGTTGTGCACTCATATCCAGGCGAAGTGGGTGAGTGAGTATAACAGAGATTGAGAGAGGAGTTCAGATACTCCATCTCAGCTTGAGTTAATGGAGAGGGATTGAAGAGAAAAAGTGAAGGCCACTCAGATCTGAAAATTTAAGCTCAGTGTGCTGACAATGGGAGAAGTGGTTACGATGCACAGTTTGTCACAGTACAAAGCAACCTTACTGTGAGAATCGTGTTGGAGGACCCTTGTTACAATTTCCTGTAAGATCTCTAGCAGAAAAAAAAAATGAGGCTGGCGGGTTTTAGAGTGCTACTACAAATGTTCAAGCCATTAATCATGTCTTCTGCTGCTATTAAATGGTGATGATGTGGTGATGGATGCTGAGCTTTTATTGTCTTTTAAAAAAATGTTTGAAAGGTAGACTGCATACAGACCTGAAAAGTGGAAGTGCCTCAAAGCAGCATTATTTTCAGTATCCAGCAGAGCACAGCCTATGTGATTGCAAAAATAAGTCAAATCTTTTAGGTGTCTGTGGTAAAACAACCTTGCTGCTCACTTGATCTATGACCTCAGTAAACATTTTGCTGAAGAGTTAATTATTTTAACTGTTAGTTTTCAGTTTTTATGAATACAGAATGATGCTAATTTTGTAAATGATGGTCTCATTAATCAAAAAGTACGATAAAGGTGGCGAGAGAGTATGTTTTAGGCCAGGTTACTTGTAGATGTAGCTATACTGAATGATATCAGCATCAGAAGGAGGAACATGACAAGGTGGAGAAATACTAAGGGCTGAGACAAGAACTCTAGAAGATGTAGAGGGTGAAGGTAACAGTGGTCCCTGTGGTAATAGACAGCCCGCAAGAAGGGAAATTTTTTAATATGTTTTTTTTCTTTTGAATTGCTAAAACATGTCGAATGTGACATGTGTTTGTTTTTTATTCAGTCAAGGATATTTGTCTGTATTAAAATTTAAATTTCAGCTTTTTGTTGGTTTCAATAACCGCAGTTAAATATAAGTCATTTGTCAACATAATGTATATAAAAATCACTGATAACCCTGTATTTGTGCACCTAAAAGGAAATTAACAAAATATTGTTTCATATTTTATTACTGAAGCTGTAATAATAATACACCATCAGAGAATATCTATAAAGGTGTTTTTTGGGATTTAAAAAAAAAAACTTAATTTGAACCACTATATTTGGATGGGATTTATTGCTTTTAATAATGCAGTTATTTTAATCCAGTTCAGAGCATTTATCATTATGGTTTCATTTAAAAATTAAAGACAAAATTTAGCTTTTGTATGTAAATGGAGGAAAATGTTTGTGCCAGTCTGATAGGCAAATGCCATTACTTGGAATTTATCATTTGGGAAGCTTGAGGGCCCAATTTCAATCTGCTCCTTCTACCCTTCCAATCTGTGATGAGTGTATTTCCATGAGGAATTACACTTGAGGTTGCTGAAGGGTCTAAAAGGCTAAAATAATAATAATAATAATAAAAAGAAAGAAAAAACAACCCTGAAAGCTTTGGGAAACCATCAGTGTTCTGTGACAGAAAATGGAAATTATAATCAGCATCCCTGGCATTGATACTATCAGATCTATTCATAGATGTATCAAGATCCCATCCATCATTTATTGGTAAATGGGTTTACTCCATTTCAGCTTCAGTCACCCAAAAATAGATACACACAATTTCGCCTTATTGTTAAGGAAGTCCTAAAATAGTAATGCAGAGCTTTTTGTAAGTGCTGGCCTTTCCTCTATATTGGAGTTACAAAAATGGTGCTGAACCTTGAACAAGTATGATTAGTAGTAGTAACAATTTTGGATGGCTTTTATTGGGTACCCCTTGCTAGTACCAGGTTGTGTTCCCTTTTCTTTGTTGCACAGATTACCGGTCATGGCAGATGGATGCTCTCCTGGTTCTCTGGAACAAAACTGAATTGAATTAAACAGATTTTTACAAAGGGCTGGAAACATTCCTCAATTTTTTTCACAATAGCATCACACTGTACCTGCACATCAATGATGTGAATCTCCTGTTCCAACAAATTCCTAAAGGTGCTACACTAAATTGAGATCTGGCGACTGTTGGGGCCATTTGAGCAACCCATTTGAGATGATCTGAGCGTTATGACATGTTGAGCTTATCCTGCTAGAAACAGCCATAAGGAAACGGGCACATTGTGGTCATAAAAGGATGGACAATACTCAGATATACTGTGATAAATGCAAAATTACTAGTAAAAAGTGTGCTAAGAAAATATTCCACACACCATTACACCACCACCCACGTTGATACAAATCTGGATGGATCCATGCTTACATATTGTTAGTGCCAAATTTTGATGCTGCCATGACTGTTGCAGCTGACTATTGAAACTAATTAGTCCAGGCATGTTTCTTTTTCTTCCTCCATTGTCTTCTATTGTCTAACTTTGGTGAGCCTTTATGAAATGTAAAGAAGAAGGGGCTTGGATTATCTCAGAAAATAAATGCAGTTTATGAAAAATTTTTGGTGCTCGTTTGTCGGAGGTTGCAAGATAACCTTGGAGATATAAAAAATTCTACTTTTGATGTATGTAAGTTCCAGTTTTTAGTTATAAAAGGACACAGACACACAGAAGGAGTCCAGAGGCACGTTTGTGCTTGAGAATAGTACATCTGTTGTTGGACACTGTTAAAGGCCAACAGTTTGTGCTTGGTTACAGTCGTTCACACAGTCAATATTTACACAGAGTTATAGAATATACAACATTACAGCCATGTTACAAAGCAGTTTACATTCATATTTGATAAAGGTCGAGCAGCATCTGTGGCCTTCTGTCACAAACTGGCACAATATAACCTGTAAGGAGCTAAATATCTGTTCAACTCTTTTCTTATAAGACAAGCAAACAAACAAACAGAAAAGACAGCCCATTTAATCACCAGAAGCATTTAAAGCAGAGGTTTATGAAAGTATTTCATTTTTAATTTGTTTAAATTTGGCCTTTGAAACTCAGTGAAAGGGAAAAGTCATATAATTTTTTTTAAAGCAGTACAAAAGAAAAATATTTTTGCCCAAGATAACAGTTAATGGAACAATAATGTTGGCAAAAAAACCCAAAAACACATTGAAGAAGTAAACCATGGCTCCCGTGGTGAATTTTGTTTGAAGACATTATGTTCTAACAGAAAACTCCCTGTTGGCAGGTTAAATCTATTCATATCTTATTTTTGGATTAATTTCAAAGGAATTTTTAAGCTATGGTACCACGGTATTTGCCACATCTACAGTTTTTTCCACTGATGGTTTTATTGTATTTTTTCATAGACACAGTTGTGGAGACTTTGGACCATTTGAAAAACTAATAGACAGTGTTTAGAATTCATATGAGTCAAAAGACTTACATCTCATGAATTGAGAACTCTGGAGAAAATGGAAACAATTGGAAACAATTGGTCCATCTCCTTTTGTATCTTTCTAGCAATGTTAATAACATCCAGGCTTACCTTTATTAAGATACTCTGTTTGGTCTTAGTTGGTCATTTGAGGAAGATAAATCAGGAGTCCAATACTGTAGCAGAAGAGGCTTAGTGGACATGTAACTTTATTGGTCCAGACGCTGTTGTGGAATAACTAAGAGTTTTAAGAAATTTCATGAAGTTGTTGCAACAGTGATATCCTGCTAAATTACCACGCTCAAGTTCAGTGAACCCTTCAGAACAACTGACGAATGTTTTTAAAGGCAGACTGCATGGCTAGGTGCTTGCTTTTATACATATGTGAGCAATGGGACTGAATGAAACAGCTGATTTCATTGGGTAATAAAGTAGGGGCAAGTTTTATTATTCTTCAGTTCATCTTTTAATGTTGTTCACTGGGAAATAAAGACAGATGGTATCAGAATAGGCCCAAGCTAGACCATGACACTGACCTGGAAATGTGTGTTTAGGTTCTCGATCATCCAAGTAATGCTAATCTTATGAGCTTAAATAAAGAATGCAACTTAAAGAAGTCCAATTGCCTTCATTTTTCAAGATTCTAAGGTCTGAACTGAATAAGCAAAAGACAGATAGATGGCTAGATGGATGAGATATAGCTACATTTGTGGAATTTAAAAAATGTCTAGCTATAATTGGAAGATTTATATTGGGAGGATGCATAAGTCCACGTAAAATCTTCAGGAAATGATGCGTATTTCATAATGGAATATAGTGGTTAGCCATTTGTTTAAAATTTTCAACATGCTGAGTAATATATTGGAATCAGTGGGAGTTCCTCAGACTCAGAAAGGGCAAAAGTTAGCTTTTCAATATATTTAACATTGTGAGGGTGTTGTTTAAACCCAACCTTTTAAAATGCCTCCAAAGGAGGGGTAAAGGTTGGTTAAAAAATTTGAATAATGTGTTAACTTGAAAGTTACAATTACCAAAATTACAAAAAGGAATACAATCAGTGAGTTGTAAAAAGTGATTTATGGTTGCTTTTCTTCTTTTTGCGTTTCCTCTGCCTTATATATCAGTGCAACCCTAAAAGTATTCTGATAATAATAAGTGCTAATTCTCTGTTCATAACCCCGGCTTACCCAATAAAGTTTCCCAGTGGATTGCTCTGAGGATAATTTTTTTTGTAGGGAAAACTGTAATTGAGCATTACTTTGGATCTTATGACGAAATGTAGTTGCACTTAGCCAATTGTTAGCACTTTTTTAGGGCATGGCCAATGTTCTTACATATGTTGTTGAAAAACAAAACAAAACTAAATGGACATAACTGAAACTTATTTCAGGCATCCAACCAAATACCTCGTTGAAAAACATCCAATGACTTTGAGATGAGGGAGCAGTTCACCAAAACAAAGATGTTTCGGGGTAGCACTCTGTGGACAAGAGTGGATGTTGATGTTTACACATAGCTCATTTGGGGATCTGGGGAGTCTGAGCAAACCATGTATCTTCAACCTACCCTTCTGAACCGCTTTATATGTCCACGTAAGTATAATAGCAATGAAAATTCATCCCAACGACTAAGTCAGAAGTCTGTCATTTAAATAAAGCACATTATGGTTAAAAATTGCTACTGTTTACAAATATAATTAAATAATTGAGGTCATTTTTTAAAAAATTAAATCTGTCATTTCTAAACTGTTAGTTTTGACACATAAATTTGCAGGCATAATTTTTTTGTTTTTGTGTCTAAGCACTTAGACTTATCAAAAGAAAACTGACATATTTCATATACTTTTTGTCCATTTCTAGCTGCTTAATGCATGCATTCATAGGAGGAAAAGAGACAGATGAGGAGCTGAAACGAGGACAGAGAGAAACCAGTTCAGTGGGAGGGAACAGAGGGATTGTGGGATTGCTGGTCGGGTGAAGCAGTGATGCAGCTCAGAGAGAAAGGATCCTCTAATCGAAGGATTTAAAGAGGCATAGATGTCAGGAACACCAAGGCTCAGCCCCCCCTCCAAAAAAGTAGCTTATCTGCAGTTTTTGAAACAGAATGAAATTGTGTCTACTTTTGATTCGTTTTCTTTCACATCTCTATCTCTGATATGTATTCACCTTGTGCAGGTCGTTTTTCAATCAGCCAGCTGCACCAAATTGGTATGTTGATGAAACTCCTGCCAGGGGAAACATGAGAGTTGGAATTACAGTTAGGCAATTAAATTTTAGACTTAAAGAAACAACCTTTGGTAATAACAATTTGAACAAAGGAACTAATTAGTTCATAATTAACAGAAAATTAAGAGCAAACATTATGTGTGGAAACACATACGAAATGTTGATATTACTTGTGGGAAATATTCCTACCTTCCAAAAATAGTAAGTTTAGCCTTTTATTTATATTACTTAACCCAGACCAGAAACACATTGATTCTTTTCTACAACAAGCTGTCAAGGCACATAGTGGGATACTTAAGGGCAAGAGAAAAGGGATAGTGCAAGACTGGATCAGCATGAGGGATGTGCTCATTATGCTTATTTATGCTTATTCATTATTTAGACATATCTTACTAACACTAAGCCCACCATATTAGGTCAACAGAAGCAGACCACCTGATTTGAATGTTGTCAATATAACAGGTGGCCATTATAAGTTGTCATATATATTGCCAGTAGTTGATTTCCCATTGAGAATACAAAGCATGCATGGTTACGGGATGTTTTTTTTAACTTAAACTTGGTAGTAGTTGGTAGTTGGTTTGGATTGGGGTCACATCACGTTCACACCATAAACGAACCGCTAAGGAGTTCTTTTGAAACCGTACTAAGTTAAAGTTTTTAACTCCATAAGTTAATTGCGAAGATTGTTTATTACTAAACCTTACCAAGAAGTTTAAAGGTTTTAACTTGTTTCAGAAGGTGCAACCTTTATGGAAAATGTGTGCGGTCTACATTCCCATAGAAACTGTGCTTCAAGTCCTGCCTTTCATAATTTCCTTACTACTTGGGAAGTGCTGAGTGTACACAGACAAGCTAGCATCTTCTGTGCAAACCACAGATAACCATCGTAATTTGCTAGGAACCAATGCCAAATGAGTTTTTTTGATGGAACACCAAATAGATATTTGCAACCAGTTTCATGTAGCGATAGGCAGCATCCACTCACCAACCCATCAGGGAACACAATTTTTTTCCTGGTGACCCCAAGGGGGGGGCTGATCCAAAGGACTGTCTGATTGAGGCCCAAAGATATTTTTAACTACCTGCTCTTCCCAACTGTTTCATCTTGCTGGAGGAACTTCCTGTCTATTCCTATGGCATAGGTCTTCGAAGGAAGGCACTGAAGCCGTTGATTGAATGAAGAGAAGATTTTTAACCGTTAAAGTATATTATTTTAATCATGTTTAATTATAAACACCCTGCTACTTTCTACCTGGATAGAAGACGAATATGTTAGATGATTACCAGATTCTGTGGAACTTTTGAACAACAACAGTTGAGTTTTAGGGAACTTAGCTGTGTGACCTGAATGAATCCCAGTACATAAGGAGCAGAGAGAGGAAACAGGGCCGACTGCAGTAAACAATTTGATTGGCAGTTTGGTGGGTCAAAGGAAGTCGAGTGGGACAAAGCATTGCAAGCAGTTCACTGGCATTTGGATGAAAGGGCATTATCATTGCAGTACATTCATTTTCTGACTTTATTGTGTATGCTTCTGCCCTTGGTTTTAATCAGCTGCGATTCTTTTTAGCTCATTTTGACTCCAGCAATGACAATTGTGTTATGATTTTCCATGTGTTTATTTGAACAGATGTTTAGAAAAAGCAATCTATTGCAGCTTTACTAGGTTCACTTAAGTGAAATTTTATTTATATTCCACCAGTGGAACCACAGTCTTCTCAAGATGCTCATTTTAAGCATGGAATATTAAAGACCACCTCCAGCAGACCAAGCAGTGGGTCGCCGTTTTCCCACAATTTCCAGATGGCTGAGATCAGTGTTTACTTCCAGTCAGACTGAAAACCAATGCTTGAAATGTTCAATGTAAAAAGATGTGTATTAGTTGTTCCTAGGATTTGGGAATTCTTGGGTTTAACCCTATTTAGGAAGGCCTGAACAAAGGTTAATGTTGTTGGAGCCTTTAGAATTACAGTGAACTCAGTCTGCTGACAGCTCTGGATATTTTGGCTCTATGATAAATCGCAAGGACAGGTCAGGTGCTTGTTGATAGTGTAGAGGCATAATGTCTATCTAGGGAGTTGATGCAGGATTGCGTAGGCCAGCCTCTGCCTCTTGGAATGATGTAGCCCTATTCCCAGTGGTGTGGTAACACCAAACTCAAGGTTAATTGTGGCCTGACAAACAAAAGCTAGAGTGTAATGGAGTGCTAGAAAGAAGTTACTGTAACATCAGTAAGTAAGATATCAGGAGGGTCTATGACTTTGCTCACTTAAAGCCCATTTTATGTTTTGTCTTCATATAAAAGAGAAGTTGAATCATTTAGCTCTGGCTTGTCCTTCATCAGGCTAATCCAGAGTCTATGAGGCAATCTCAGCTGTAAGGCTTTCAAATTTGTAATTTGAATTTAATTTGAAAACTTTTTTAAATGTACAGATGTGGTACCTCTTGGTGAGGTTTCATGTGACTTTATGGTGAACACAGCATTACAGCATTTAGCCTAAGCCACCATTTGGTTGAAGTTTGGTAGTTTTGTTTGGTTGGAATCCAAAGCTACAAAATCTAAGTAGATACAGGGTAAATTTGGTAAATGATTTCAATTTTCATTTCCAGAAGCTTCCATCTTTTTTAATGTCTGTGGACTGGAACTCATCCCAGATGGCATGACTTCATAGGCAAGGTATAGCTACAGTCTGCAAATGAGGACTTTGTGAGAACAGAAAGACAGGGAGGGTTCAGTTAGCTGATTTGTGCACAGAAATATGAATTAATAGACTACTAGTCATGACTAGTTCACAAACTGCCGTAAGACTGTGTTTGGGTTTGGGTTGACAAGATTTCTCACAAAACATTCAGTGGCGCTATGAACTCAGGAATCAAGATCATATTTTAACAGTATAAGTGACAAGATGAGCTTCTTTTAAAAAAGAAATTCATGGTGGAGGGCAAACGTAGTGCCCTAAATCCATGTAAAAGTCTATGAATAAACTATTCACTTGTGGAAGTTATGTGGAATTCAAAGCATCCATTAAAGTTATTGAAAAATGGCATATCTACCTAATGAGTTTTGCTTTAATGTAGCCAATCATATTTTAATGATATTTCTTCCATCTGTAATTCAGTTTCAATAAAAAAGACTTGGTAGACTGAGCAAAGATGAATAAAATAAGATTAATATTAGAAGCGTAAAATAACGACCTGGTCTTTGTGTCTGTATAACTGAAAAAATTGCAATGTGATAAATTTATGGCTTCAGTAAGGTGATAAAGTGATCAAAGAAAAGGAAGTAAATCACTCAAGTTTTCATTTTATTCAAACATTCGTGTGTTAGCTTGAAAGTAGGGATCCTTTCTCTGATGTTTCTTTCTAAATTGGATACAGTTCATTTGAAATACCTTGTTTTTTATGTTGCCTCATTATCCCACATTTAACTCTTGTCTTTTTCTCCTACTGATCCTTTTATCACAGTTACAGCTTCGGCCCTTGTCTCAGATTCCCTTGCTCTCTATTCTCCGCCAATTAAAAAAAATAAAAAATAGCAACAAAGCTTCTCCCTTCTAATATGAATAATTTGACCACATCTACTTCTTGCCCACCTGTGTGTTTTCTGTTTTGCATTCCTCCAATCTGGCTTATTTTCAGATAATCCACAGCAAATGCACATTTTCACAACAGTGTTTGAAATTTCTCAAGCTTGCATCATGCATCCAAATTGTATCCCCCCCAGCTTTTCTTTTAATCGATTTAACAGTGGCCTAAAAATTCATACGCTTTCTGTAAGAGAGCACATTTGTAAACCACTGTGAATTATATTTTTGAGTTACATGTTTCATCTGTGGATTGAAGATGGAGAAAAAGCCCTGTGCTGACTAGATTTTAAACTCCATTTCTTTTGGTAATTTTTTTTTTGTCCATAAAAATGTGCCTACTTAATCTGCTCTCCATACAGGCCTGCCCGCTTTTTTTAAGTGTCACAGATCCTTCAAACACAACTTCACCCTCAAAGCATGTCTTTACAGTGTGGGAATTTTCCATCACAGCAAGGTCATGTCCTCAGAAAGATGCAGTTTCAGTTGTTTAAGAAGACTTTGAGTCATTCAGCAGCTCCTCATCGTTTCTACTGTCATTCTTCCTCTTCTAATCCCCAATCATCCCCGCCTTCTCCTCTATATTTGGGCTCTTTAATCCCCCCCATTGGCTCCCTCTCACTCGTGCCGTTTCTATTTTCTCACACATCTTTAGGTCTTCTTTTCTTCTGTCTCCATGTGCAATCTTTTGTCCTCTGGGAGACAAAAGAATATTCTTTTCCTTCCTTTCTCTTCCATGTCTTCCTCTCCTCCATCCCTCTTCGGCATCTCACACATCAGTGGCGTTGAGGCATGTAGACACCACATCCTGCGTTTCAAGGACTATCTTCTTTGCCCTTCTGCCTCCCCCTCCTGCCCCTCCCCCAGCGGGATGAATGCTGTCCAGTCGGCCGCCCCTTTCCCTCTCGCCGCCACTGCGACATTTAAAGACAGCGAGAAAGGCAGCGCGGTAGTTGCGATTCATCCAGCCGTAAAGTAGTGGGTTTGCAAAGGTGGAGCACATGGCAATCACGTGGAAGACGGTGTAGAGCAGGCGGAAGTCCCGCATGTCCAGCACCGCGCTGTCAATATCGGTGGCCAGCTGGAAGGCGTGGAAGGGAAGCCAGCTCACGGCAAACACCACCACCATGGTCACCAGCATCTTGGTGGTTTTGCGGCGTCGGCGGTGGCGTTCGGAGGCAACGCTGCTGTTGACACCACTCTCTGCTGGACTGACATGACCACGCAATTTGGACCAGATGCGGGCGTAGGCAAAGGAGATGATGGACAGGGGGAGGAAATACTGCAGGATAAGCATGGAGATGCTGTAGATGGTGCCATCTGTGTTTGTCCCGGGCCATTTCTCCATACACGCCTATGACAGAGGACAGAATGGGATGTTTGGTTGAGTTTAGTCTGTGTTACATGAAGGTACACTTTAAATACCATGGTTAGGTTAGCCTCTTAATATCCCACAGGCCACTGGATTTAATTTTAGCCACATGGTTAAAAAGACAAATCTCCAGAAACTAGAAGATGTAACACTAAAAATGAAGTCACATTTTGCCATTACAGTTTTTCTGCGCAATGTTTTTTTTTTCTTTTCCCTTTGGGTATTCCCAATAGATGAGAAGTCCATACAAAATGGCAAGTCAATGTTTGCTCCAATCCAAAGGTAATCAAGATTATGCGATATATGATCAAAAGCTTTAGAAAAGTTATTAAAAAAAAGGATTTTTCCATTGGATTCTTTTGGCGACTAGATCAGAATTTTGACATAGTTTACATTTGATTGCAGTGACTGGAGAGGCTGGGATTATGAACAATAGGAATAAGGTGGGAAAGAAGAGTTTGGAGAGGAATGGATGTAAGGAAAGAAAAGAAGGAAAGAAGGATGAGATAAAAGAGGAGGCAACGTGAGGGATGTGAGCAGCACCAGGAAGATCAAAGGGAAAGAATGAGGAGGGAAGTGAGGGGGCCGATCTGTACAAATATTTGATTCAGAAACATGGTGTTGTAGGTGTGTGACTGCATATACCTGTATGGTATGTCCAGGCTCCAGTGTGAAAGAGCCGTACTCTCTGAAGATGGCAAGAGGGCTAGCCAGGATGGCACTCAGCACCCATGTCAATGCTATCACTGTAAAACACACGTCCTTACGCATCCTGGTCTCCAGGTGGTACACGATACACCTGAAATGCAAATTGGTGCATACGAAATATTTATATAAACTTGAAATGTTCACATGAGGCGCACTTTATAGTTTCTTTCTCAACAGGTCAGGACACAGAAAACCACTGATATTATATCAGTTTTCTGATTTTTAGATTGCATTAGTTATTACCAGGAAGTTTTGTCACACTTTATTCAGAAAATCTTACTTTTCAGGGGGAACATTTGTAGCTATTTTTACAAGTTTTCAAAATCTGACAGTAACCTTCTGCATTCAAAAGTTTATCAATTCTCACCATATCCCCAACACAGCAGCCCCAAATGACAGTCTCCACTGTGTTTTACAGATGGCTGTAGACACTGACTGCTGCTCCTGACCTCCTCTATTTTATAAAGATGGTGATTTGAACCAAAAGCTTCAAATTCTGAATCATCACTCCATGAGACCTGTTGCCACTAATTTTCAGTCATTTTTTAAATGTAATTTGGCATACCTCAGCTTTGTTCTTTCCCTTTTTCCCTTCCTTACAATAAACGAACAGTAGATGGATCAGCTGAAAGGCCAAATGGATCTCTCAGGCCTTTTGTCAGGATTTTCCCTATTTCTGAATTAATCAGTGCATTTACACAAAACGTTCATGGTTTGAATGACCATGAAAAGAGGCCACAATAAATTGATTAGAAATATAAAAGATGGATTTAATCTCACCATAATGTCACCCATTAGTCAGTAAAGTCTCATTTTGAAGCTGGCCAAAGTGCAAGACCCAAGATAGAAAATTATGCAGCGACACTGCTCAGATAGAACGACGTCATCGTATAGCAATAAACACTTTTTGTGTGGTTGACACTACCTTAGAGTAGCGGTCCCCAACCCCCGGGACATGGACCGGTACAGGTCCTTGAGTCGTTTGGTACCGGGCCACGAGAGTTGAGGCTCGGGTGTAAAATTTATAGTTTTCAGGGTTTTTATCGTTATGTTTTTGATCGTTTTTATTGTTAACTCGGTTTCCCTTGGTCTTTTCCCGTGTGTTAAAAATATATATATATTTTTGGTACCGGTTCTATTTTGTTGTATTTATCCGCGACACCTTAAAGACCGGTCCGTGAAAATATTGTCGGACATAAACCGGTCCGTGGCTAGAGTTGGATGTCTCGAGACCGGTCTCGAGACCACTTTTACGTGGTCTTGGTCTCGTCTTGGTCTCGACTGACTTTTGTCTTGGTCTCGGTCTTGGTCTCGACGGACTTTTGTCTTGGTCTTGTCTTGGTCTCGACGGACTTTTGTCTTGGTCTCGGTCTTGGTCTCGCTGTTTCGGTCTTGCGTTCTCAAATCGACATAGTGTTCGGGAGATTTGGAGTCAACCATCAGCGGAGTGGGGGGGTGGGGGTGGCTTACTGGGCTTAAGCCCAAAAACAACACACGAAGCACAGAGCGCACCGTCGTAAATTCCCCCTAATTTTGGTATGATCCGAGCTCAGGCACTAGGCGACTGAGCGCAGCACCCATGTGAGCGAGGGGGGAGAAGCTGCTGCCTGCGAATTTGCTGCAGACAGAGGAGAGCTTAAGTTTGACCAGGTACCAAAGCAAATCATTCGTACTGAACTAATAATGTAAATATGACGGTGTATCACAAAAGATTGATATCAAACTGATCACTTGGTTGCGTTACTTGCTCTTCGAGTGAATCAACAAATGGATAAATAAAAAGCCGAACAGCAATGCTGATTTTTTAGTCTTAGCTTACATTTCATATTTTCAGTTGTTACCCTCCACGGCTAAACAAACTCTCTAAATCGGTTTCAGTTGTGTACTGATGAACACAACAATGGACATAAGGAGCTTCTTTCAAAGAAAAAACTCAGGTAGATGTTATTTTATATATTATGCTTTGGATGTTGTTCAGTATATCTATGCAAAACAAGAGGAATTTCAATACACAGCAGTATATTCACAGTTGAAACCAGATATTTACATACACTTTATGGAGAAAACATAAAAACTTTTTTTTACTGTTAAACATCAATTTAGAGTAAACTTTTGTTTTAGATAAATAAATGTTGAAATATCTTTTGAATTAGTTAAATGTCAGAATAAAAAGAGGGAGCTGTCTATTTTAATCACTTTCATCAAATTTAGGAGTACATATACACTAAGTTTATTGTTAATTAATAAGAAAACTCCAGACGATTCCATTCTGAGCTAAAGAAGCTTCTGATAGGTTAGTAGAGTCCATGTGATTTGATGTTACAATTAAAAAAGTGTTTGTGTTTTTATCTGAAGAGTACATAAATATCTGGTTTCAACTGTATATTTGATGATGTTGGTGTTTGGCTTGATTGTCAGCACAAAGAGGGAGAGAGAGGAGCAGAGAGGGAACAAGAGCAGGTGAGACACACATGTTAGTCAAATGGTTGTTTGCCAAAACTCATCAGAACATGTATCTAGTACCTAGTGTTTCTTTTTAGATACCATTTGTTACTTTTCAAATTCTATATTTATTAAGTTATGCAGGCTTGTTTGCACAACGAGGCTAAATAATTATATAAACTTTTCTCAATCTAAATATTGTACTTTGGTAGAATTAAAAAATAAGTGTAGTGCAGGTCTATGATGATTTTTAGTGCTACTATCATCTAGTTCTGATTCTGGTTCTGTCTTGGTTACTGTTGTAGTCCTGTTTTAATTCCAGATCAGTTTTGGGTCTGGTTGAATTGGGGTTTAGTCCCTGTGTCTTGATACAGGCCCGACTTTGTTCTGCCTTGCTGCTTAATTAAAAAACTAGTTTAAGGTGTCCTGAATATGTATATAGAATAGCATCTGGCTGCAGTTTAAAGACTTTTTTTGTCTCGGTCTTGGTCTTGGTCTTGGTCTCGTCTCGACTCGGTCTCGGTCTTGGTCTCGTCTCAACTTGGTCTTGGTCTTGGTCTTGTCTTGGTCTCGATACCCTCTGGTCTTGGTCTTGTCTTGGTCTCGGATTAGGCGGTCTTGACTACAAGTCTATCCGTGGCACAACAGAGGTTGGGGACCGCTGATATTAGAGGAAACTTAAAATGAAACCCCACAAAGGTAAGCATATATGTGAGCTTGGAAGTCATGCTGACTGTAATGTACAATCTGCGTAAACAAAGATGACAAAGAAAAATTCTCAGCAGGCTCATCTAGCAAGTAGCTAAAACATGCGACACCAACCGTAAATTGGGTGCATTGTTTGTGCAGTTTTTTTTGTAGGCCAAGATCAAGTCCTTCTTTACAGCCAGAATCAATGCTGCAAATCTTTCCATTTGTGGTCAAATCAGGAACACTCATGAACATAAAAAACACCCAACAAGCCAGCAGTGAAGGCCACTCACCAATTAATGTAAGCCGCATTGCAAAAAACTCATATTTCCAGATGTGTTTGTTTTGCTGGTTACAACTGAGGCTCTTTTCTAATCTACTGAATATGGAAGTCAATAAGAAACTCTTAACACTTAAGAAAAAACTTAAGGATAAAAGAATGAAACTCATTACTCTGACTCTCAAGTTTCTTGATCAAGCCTCCAGTGAGTACAGTGGTTTCACATACTCAGCACAAGTCTAGTGGGTCTCTGTGGTGATTTTGGCAGCCATCTGTTTATTGCTGCCCAGATTAAATTATAAAAAACTTCTTGTAAAACTTATTTTAGCTTTTACAATCCCTGCTGATAGAGAAAACAAAAACAGGGTGTAACATGAAATCATTAAGGATGAAGTTTACAGCTGAGGCATCCTGACACTGAGGTTTTGTTTGGGCTTTGTGCTTTGGCACATCCATCATGAAACATAATGAAAGTTACATTAAAGTTACAGCTTTAATGTAGCGTGGGTAGAAGAAAGAACACTGTGGGCACATCACATTTAATTAAGTTTAATTCAATACTGCTGAAGCACAGAGCATGAACTCAGAAATTTCTCTTTGAACAATACTACATTAATTTACATGGTGAGTTAGTTTTAACTAAAGAAGGACGCCAGACACATTTGTACTTTCAGCAAATTTAACACACTTATTCATACAGCCTTTAAATAAAGTTGGTCTAGTTGGTCATCATTCACCATGTAGAGGAAACGTTTTCTTTAACCCTTTAAGACCTACCATAGAACTAAGTCCGCCAGAGTTATCTTTATATTTTTACATGCTGCAGTAACATTTTTGGGAGCATTTCAAGTTGCTCCCAAGTATACATGCATACAATCATTATAGCCCAAACTTTAATAATATATATGTGTTAAGTCTATAATAACTACATTAATTGCAACAAACTGCAATAAACTACAAAAAATTTAAAATCGTTTTTGTTTTTTTTTTACATATATTTCTAGTTAGAAATTTAAGAGGCTTATCCCTCAAAACTTTAAATACAAAAAAGTTGCACAAAATAGTTTCACAACAGGAAATTTATTTTGAGTGTCTTCATAGTTTTATTTTTGAGATACACCAATTTTTATATACTGCTGGAAAAACGAAAATAAATATTATAATGCAAATTTGCGGAAAAAACCCCCAGCATTTGCATCAAAATAAACTATTTCCAGCAGAGCAATTTGAGTTCTAAGCATCCTAGAAACTATTCAGACAAGCATGAAGTCAAGCAACACCAGTGCAGGCTTATAAGGTCCCGAAGGTAAAAAAACAAAAAAACAACAACTACATTTTCCACAAAAATGACATCACTTCCGGTTTTGGCCAGGTCATGGTGGACACACTATAGTTCGCGCTGACGTCTATTCCAAAGTAGGAAGTGTTACGAACAGCTGATCGAATCGGCAAAGCGTGTTTCTGGAATATTATGTTTTTGTTGCTGCAAGTGCTTTTTATGCAGTTTTTGCAAAGCTATATGTGGAAGGAAACTGTGACCTAGGACAAGCTGATGGCATAAGATGTAAGTACAACTCCTCCGGTTTCATATGCAAAAAAAATTATTGCGCTAGCTTACGTGGTTGCAGTGCTACCGGGATTTAAAAATAGTTACGCAAAACTGGAGCGTGCCGCTCCGACCGGCTTTAAAGGGTTAATAGCTATTTCCTGTCATATGTATATATATTGTTACTGGGGTGGAGGCTCATAGTCAAAGTTTGAAATAATGAGGTCAGAGTATGTACAAGTACTCCCTTATATGGTCATCTTAAGCGCACAAGGGGGCAGCCAATCACAGGTAACCTGGCTTTAAGCAAACTAGTCTTGTTTCGTACAGAAGATGAACTGAGGAGCTGCTAAGAGCTGCCAGTCCAAGTGTTTGATAAATCATGGAAAGCTACTCTTGCAGCTTGAATCTTTGCTAACAGGACCGTAGGGCTGTAGCAGGAGAGCAAAGTTTTAAAGCAATATCATATTCAAATCAGAAGAGTGGACACTAAAGTGCATTAAACAAGTCTGTAGACTGACTAAATGAGGTTGATTTGACTCTCTTGATGTTTTCTCAAAAAAACAAACAAAAGAAAAAAAACAAAGAGCACAGATGCTTGGATCTTGAAAAGTGATCTTTTGTAAATTTGTTTGTCAGGAACCATCTGCCCAAAAAACAAATAAGCAAATGAAAATCTGCTTTACATGCAGAGGAGAGATTCGTTCGTCTGTTTGCAATCTTTGGACAGGTGGTGGAGAGAAAATAAGCATAATGGCCTGTTGCCTGTAGATACTGATGACAGCCACAGGAACATCCTAACATGTGTATACATATACACCACCACGTATAGCAAGATTGGTGCCACAGTTGCTCTTAATTAACAAGTGTTGGCCATTACCAAAAATAAATAAATCTATATTATAGTTTTTAGATGTCTGTAATGGTTTATCCACCAGTTCATGCAAGCAACATTTCAGTGCTTAACCCTTTACAGCCAATGATTTCATGGTTCAGGCTTTAAAGAGTTTAAAGCCAGTCTGCAGGCTTATAGAGGTTAAGATGAATAATCTGTTGTTCATTCTAAAGTCACTGCATCACTGCACTTAACACCTACACTCCAACTGCCAAAACAGCAGGCAGCCAAAGTCTAATTGTGCCGTTAGCGGTGCAGTGGCGGCATGACAGAGTCAGAGAATCTTCACTGTAATCCTCTTTTCTCAGGGCCAGGTGTATTAAGGTGGAAATGGATTTTAGATTTGTCATTAATATGACGTCAGCTCACAGCGAGGAGGTGAAAATCTGCAGGGGAGCACAAACTGATTGCATTTTCACAAAAGATCTGAGAAACGTCATGTAGAAAACAGGATAGATGTGAAAATGTGAAGTTAATTGATTACGATGGCCATCAGAGCACGGTAATCTAGCTGTATCCTTTCCCTGAGAATAAGGGACAGTCAACGTGCAATAATAATCTCCAGCTACATACATCTGTATATATAGAGTATTGGTGGGGTTATCTCATTTCCACCCCATTCCCTTCTGAACGTTACCTCCAAATGAGGTGTACCTCGCTGTGGATGTTATATAACTTTTCATTCACTGGGATGATACTGCATTCTGTTTCAACCATTTGAAATGTAGTTCAGAGTGATTAAAAACAACAGCCCAAGATTTTCTAATTGGCAGTAAACCCAAAGTGCAAACTGCAAAGAATGTTATTACTTAGTCATAAAGTACATTGATCTTCTTTGTTAAGTTTGACAGGTTTTATTTCTGTTTGCAGTATTTTATAAGGATTTAAATTCTTTTTGTGCTTGAAAACATTTGTTTGCAAAAGTTCCAAATTTCTCCTCTGCAAGTATTGAAAAGAACCTTTTGACAAACATACAGTGGGGCAAAAAAGTATTTAGTCAGCCACCGATTGTGCAAGTTCCCCCACTTAAAATGATGACAGAGGTCAGTAATTTGCACCAGAGGTACACTTCAACTGTGAGAGACAGAATGTGAAAAAAAAATCCATGAATCCACATGGTAGGATTTGTAAAGAATTTATTCGTAAATCAGGGTGGAAAATAAGTATTTGGTCACCTCAAACAAGGAAAATCTCTGGCTCTCACAGACCTGTAACGTCTTCTGTAAGAAGCTTTTCTGTCCCCCACTCGTTACCTGTATGAATGGCACCTGTTTGAACTCATCATCTGTATAAAAGACACCTGTCCACAGCCTCAAACAGTCAGACTCCAAACTCCGCCATGGCCAAGACCAAAGAGCTTTCGAAGGACACCAGGAAAAGTATTGTAGACCTGCACCAGACTGGGAAGAGTGAATCTACAATAGGCAAGCAGCTTGGTGTGAAAAAATCAACTGTGGGAGCAATCATCAGAAAATGGAAGACATACAAGACCACTGATAATCTCCCTCGATCTGGGGCTCCACGCAAGATCTCATCCCGTGGGGTCAAAATGATCATGAGAACGGTGAGCAAAGATCCCAGAACCACACGGGGGGACCTGGTGAATGACCTGCAGAGAGCTGGGACCAAAGTAACAAAGGTCACCATCAGTAACACACTACAACGGCAGGGAATCAAATCCCGCAGTGCCAGACGTGTTCCGCTGCTGAAGCCAGTGCATGTCCAGGCCCGTCTGAAGTTTGCCAGAGAGCACATGGATGATACAGCAGAGGATTGGGAGAATGTCATGTGGTCAGATGAAACCAAAGTAGAACTTTTTGGTATAAACTCAACTCGTCGTGTTTGGAGGAAGAAGAATACTGAGTTGCATCCCAAGAACACCATACCTACTGTGAAGCATGGGGGTGGAAACATCATGCTATGGGGCTGTTTTTCTGCCAAGGGGACAGGACGACTGATCCGTGTTAAGGACAGAATGAATGGGGCCATGTATCGTGAGATTTTGAGCCAAAACCTCCTTCCATCAGTGAGAACTTTGAAGATGAAACGAGGCTGGGTCTTCCAACATGACAATGATCCAAAACACACCGCCCGGGCAACAAAGGAGTGGCTCCGTAAGAAGCATTTGAAAGTCCTGGAGTGGCCTAGCCAGTCTCCAGACCTCAACCCCATAGAAAATCTGTGGCGGGAGTTGAAAGTCCGTGTTGCTCGGCGACAGCCCCAAAACATCACTGCTCTCGAGAAGATCTGCATGGAGGAATGGGCCAAAATACCAGCTACTGTGTGTGCAAACCTGGTAAAGACCTATAGTAAACGTTTGACCTCTGTTATTGCCAACAAAGGTTATGTTACAAAGTATTGAGTTGTATTTTTGTTATTGACCAAATACTTATTTTCCACCCTGATTTACGAATAAATTCTTTACAAATCCTACCATGTGGATTCATGGATTTTTTTTTCACATTCTGTCTCTCACAGTTGAAGTGTACCTCTGGTGCAAATTACTGACCTCTGTCATCATTTTAGGTGGGGGAACTTGCACAATCGGTGGCTGACTAAATACTTTTTTGCCCCACTCTAACTAAGCAACAGAAGAGCTGCTTTTGCCGAGCTGTGGATGAACTCCAACTCTGTGTTCTGTGCTGCAGCCTTGGTGAGTTCTCCGTAGGATTACATGAACCAGTTCTCATTGTTCAGGGTCTCGTTGGCGTGGCCCTCCAGTTCACATAAGATGAACTCTGCAAGAGAACAAAGACCGCCTTCGCAGCTGCAGTCCAGGACGGTGGAGTTGGAGTTCATCTGAACATGCGAAGCAGCTGAAGAAAACTGGATCTCCAAGATAAGGAAGTAATCTGGACAATGGGGAAAACAGGAACACGTGCCATTCTAACACATGAAAAAAAAAAAAGAAATGGCTTAAATGAGCCATCAAACCTACTTGTGTGGAGGTGGATCTACTGACTAACCAGTACCAGTACCATGAATACCTATGGACTTTATGGATACCTACAGTACAGTAGGTATCCATAAAGTCAAACGAAGCATATAAGTATAGATTGAAAATCTGTTTACTGTCACGTCAGACCATACAAAGTAGAAAAAAAAACTCTCTTTGACTTCTTCTTTTTGTTTGATGGCCTTGCCTGTTTCCAACATTATGCACTGTCATCAATTGTCCACAGATACCCAAACCACAGATAATAGTGATAGAAACACAATTAGAATCCAATGTGCCCGTCTCTGGTTACGAAGCAGGTGAAACAGGTAGCTCACCAGGAAGATCGTGAACACAGATTACATGTTTTTTAAGTGTCACCCACCTGTGGCGGTCCAGTGCGATGACGTTGAGCGTCACAGTGGAGACATGCACGGTGAGCCCCTGGGCGTAGGGCAGCAGGAAGCAAAGTGTGCTACCAAATTTCCACTCACCCTGCAGGGTGTAGACGAGGGTGAAGGGGAGGCACAGAGTGTTGACCAACAGGTCGGCTGGAGATAGACAAGAAGAAACATGTTTGGCTGTAAAGGTTCTCATGAATACATAACAGAAAACTTCCACTAAACTAAGTTATACAAATGCAACTTATGTTGCTGTCTGTGTGCCAGGAGGCACTGGAGGCAAAAGTTAAGCAAGTGTGTGCATTTTGCCTGCCTTGGATTTACTCTTGATAAAGTTGGATAGTTTAGCTTTTTCCCAACTTAAGGCACCAAATGCTATTTTCGGATCGAGCAGCATTCAGTGTCTTAAGTTGTGGAATTTCATTAAGCATTGTCTGTTGGGCATATGGAGTCTTTTTTTTCCATTATCGCTATCGCAGGGCATTGCTATACAGGTAAAAATGTTTCTGTTCACCGATTACTCACCCTAAAAATTTAATGCAGTGTTACCATTTAACTCATAAAGGCACAAATATAGTATGATTACTTCTCTTACTATCTTTCCCATTTTATTTTTGTGTTTTTATGTATATGAAGAAGAACATTGCTTTCTTCTTTTGTCTGCTTCTCATCACAAACACATTAAACTCGCTCTATTTCTGAGGTTAATTTTCTCTGAAATTGCTGCAGAAATTCTACACCACCCACTAAACTCTCTCCCTTTGTATCTTCTCCACCATCATAGATAATTAACCGGGCATCCAGCCTTAACTGTCTCAGCTGTTTGTTTTTTTTGAGTTTTTTTGTGTTGTTTAAAAAAGACACACTTCCCCTGCAACAAGAGGGCAAAGGATAGATGAAAAGAAAAGGGAAAAAATACATGAGCTAGAGCATGCACCCCTGATGATATATAAAAGAAAATTCCCCTCTCGCCCCTGCGGATGGTCTATCCTTCAAGCTCAGGTCCTCTACCAGAGGCCTGGGAGCTTGAGGGTCCTGCGCAGTATCTTAGCTGTTCCTAGGACTGCGCTCTTCTGGACAGAGACCTCCAATGTTGTTCCTGGGATCTGCTGGAGCAACTCACCTAGCTTGGGAGTCACCGCACCTAGTGCTCTGACTAACACTGGGACCACTGTTACCATCAACCTCTACATCTTCTCAAGCTCTTCTCTGAGCCCTTGGTATTTCTCAAACTTTTCATGTTCCTTCTTCCTGATGTTGCTGTCATTTGGAACCGCTACATCGATCACTACAGGTGCTTTCTTCTATGAGTTGTTGTCCTGACTCGCCCTTGCCATAGCATGTGTGTTGTACCTTGTCAATCTCTAGCTGTGAGCAGTCCCTTCTTCTGAATGTTTGAACAATGAGCTAATAATTGTTTCGCCATCAATGTGGATTTTGGCTCTTGAAGATTCCATAGGTCCCTCATCCTATTCATGTAACACCTTCCGTTATTTGCGTAGTAGTATTCCAACAACGCCCTGTTTTCGTCTCTTGCCCACCGATGCCTTCTTGTTCCAGTAATCCATTTCTCATCGGGTTGACCTGGTTCCTCAACACCTGGCCTGGACCTTGTTGATCAAGGCTTCATATTTATCTCTCTCGCTCATGTCTGCGGTAGGCTTGCTTAGCATGGGGGATCTAGCCTTTAGGACCCTTACTGGAGACAGATGCCCCAGGCGGGAATCGAATCGAATTGCGACTCCCGCTCCAAAAGTGTGCAGTCTTTGACCTACCACACTTCGAAAAAGGTTCAGGCCAAGGTTTTGCATTTCATGCCTGCTTTCTTCTCATTAGCAATTTACTAGAAAACCCCATGAATACCAATGAAAATACTTCAATTAATAAAATCTTCTTTTAAAGAATGTTTAATTGCGGGATAGAATTTAAGTTATTTTACTGCTATGGGAATATTAACTGAAGAGTCTAGACTGAATTGGCATGTCAAAGGGTCAAAGTCTGCCCATGGCTTTACAAAGTCTAAGAGGTGCAGTGAAGACATAAAATACTATTTTTTAATACAATGGCCCTTTATTCCTTTTTGTGATGATTCAAGTCTTATTACACAGGAGTGACTGTCTCTAGAGCTAGACAAACTGAAGTATTAAGACAAAAAATGCATATTAATTATTATTGTTTTCAAAAGATTTTTTAAATTTACTGTTTTACAAAACAACAACAACAACAACAACAACAACAACAACAACAACATCATCATCATAAACCCCACATGAACACCTGGGATATGTTGGCTTTCACGTTGGTTTATGGCTTCAGCTTTTTCCAAGTGTTTCATCTGTCCTGTTCTTGTCCAAGTTCTCAAAATGTAGTCATTATCCCAAATACAGAAAAAAAAATGGAAGGGTTGTTGTTTAATGCAGTGGTTTTATTTGTGATCCTGCACTGTAAAAACGATAACTAGCAATTGTTGATTTCACTAAAGTTTTTAAATTAAACTGACTTAGAAATAAAACTTTCCATTTACAACCTAAAAAAGCTTGTCTACCCAACAAATTTCTTTCATTGTTGTCCTAACTAAGATTTTCTAGACAGCATAACAAAGATTATCAACTTTTGAGCAGAGTTTCTGAGTCAAGTTGGGAACCAGTGGGAAACCCCGTAGATGACTGGCACATGTGGTCTGAACAAGTTTGAACTAAACCAAACGGACTTTCAACTGAGCCTGAGCAGACCTGAGCTGTGTGATAGTGGTTTACCATGTGTTCTAGACTAAAAACCTCCTAAGAAAATTTGAACCATCGTGGCTAGATTTGGATGTAAATTGCAATTTTTCGACCATTGAGGATTTTCACTTCTGCAGTTGGAGTGTATAATTCTTTTGGACAGGTGCTGGAGCTGCCGACCATTTACCCTAGCAGGTAAGCTAACTACATGTGTTATTAAGATTTTCTACAAGCGCCTAGGCTGCATCCTCCTGAGGACCCGGGAGGATGGAACTAGTAAAACACTGAAAAAGGCCAACTATAGCATTTTTAAGTTATCTAAGTGACTTAATTGACCCCCACCTCGGCTAGCTATCGAGCTGGTGGGTAACAGACGTCTCCGAAAACGTCGGAGCACTTTTGCAAGTATATGTTGTCTTAATAAACTGAACAGATATTAGCAATTTACACAGCTACATTAACGCCTGAAAATATCTTAAAAGTTTATTTTGTGACCCAGAAAGAGTAATATTAAAACTAATTCCACAGATAGAATTTGCACATGCGCAATAAGGATCGGGGAGTCCGATCCGTAACTTTTTTTTCTCATTTTTTTTCTACATTATATTGAAATGTTTCAATATTGCAAACATTTTAAGAGATGCTTATTATAAGGAGGACGTATTTCTCGGACACATTTAGAGGAGTCCACTATGAATTTGGGCAGCCTTCGTCGCGCCGCTGTGTCGTAATCGGGCTACAAGCAGCCTCTGAAGGTTTTAGCTCAGAGTAGTGGCCCAGCGCAAAAAGTAATGTTTAATGTTAAACACTCTGAAATTTAGACAGACATCACTAAATGACGGTATCTCACACTGGCTTTTTACAGCACTTCTGCCATGGTAAAACTTATGAGCTTATTACCCGTTTTGTAACCAGTTTCAATGTTATCTTTGCATGAAAACGTTATGTTAACCTTGACAACAAACTGGGCCAAGCACGCGTTGTCATGGAGACTCTTTCATGGGTCGGTGTAGGATATGTGCGCCAATTATATGACAGTGATATAAGTAACTTGCATATTGTCTAATATTGTTTTTTCACTTTTTCAATAGTCACCGTTTATCCGGTGCAGCACTGTTACTTTAAAGTAATGTTTAAAGCTGACTTGACAGTTTGTCAGCTGGTGTAAGATTGCCTAATGTACTGCAAGTTAATTGTCACACGCAAATTAAAGTTGTACTTCATGCTCTGTATTATAAGATTGCTACATTTTCAGAGCTTTTTACATAATGGGGAAGGAGACAATATTTAAGGAATGATTGTGTGTTGTTGATGTATATTGTGTTACAGATAGTATTATTTTTTATAAAGTTATTGCATTTTTTATCATAGTAACAAAAAAATGTTTGAATTCAAGCTTGCATTTATGTTACATGTCATCTATGTTATCAATCATATACTTGATATAGTAGACAAGTGGTCATATGTAAGTTAATATGATTCCTTACATATTTTTTTCATGATGTCTCTGGTTTTGGCTTGTTGATGTATTCAGCTCCTGCATCTATGGATTCCTTCTGTGTGTTAGATATGGATGTTTTATCCCATTGCAAAAGTGCTTTTGGCAAAATTGACTATGTCTCTTGTGTTTCAGGGGTGGATTTCATGCAGTGCCGATTTTGCAAATTCACAAGCTCCAGTCAAGAGACTCTTTTGAAACATTTCCGCCTTCATCACGGACAAGGTGCACATTGGCCATGCATTCACACAGACTGTGTATGTGTATTTAAAACACCTGGAGCATTACGATCACACCTCTCAAGGTCACACTCAATAGTAAAAATCCACAAAAATTCCACATTTCAGTGTGAATTGTGTGATTTTAAGGAGATTTGCAGTGAGAAAATCTTTTGGAACCATCTTGGACATCATTTAAAGAACCGAGAAACTGTACAATGTCCCTTTTTAAGGTGTAATTTTAAAACAAACATTCGCCCAACCTTCAGTTCTCACAGAAGTCGAAATCATAAAAATTGTACACTTGAGGATTTTCGAACAATTGCAAGAACTGTTTCTGAAGATGAGATAATTGAAAGTGAGCAATCTGATTGTGAAGCAGGAACATCAGCTTATAATTTTGTGAGACCAGATGAGCTTGACGAGATTGTAAAGGATGTGGATAGTGAGACACTTGAACACAAACTGGCATCTCTCTTTCTGTGTATGCAAACAGTGTTGCATGTTTCTCGAGCTGCAACACAAAAGATTGTAGAGGATTTCCATAACCTGCTCTCTTTCTCTAACATTCATACTCTCACCAGTGTAAAAGAAATTCTTTCAAAGCATGAAATAGAAGTAAATGATTGTGTTTTGCAAGACATTTCTAATGCCCTAGTTCAAACTAATCCACTGCTTTTAACAACATCGGAGAAAGGTTCCCTATCTACAGATCACAGAAGGAATATATATTTCAAAGAGCAGTTTTCCGTTGTAGAACCCACAGAGTATCTGTACAACACAGCTCATAAAAACTCTTTTGTTTATATATCTGTCACTAAGATACTTGAGACTTTACTGGGACGGGCAGATTTTTTGGACCAAATTGTATTTAATCAAGAAGCTTTATCTGGACACTTTAAGTCATTTCAAGACGGCAAGTACTACAAGGGCAATAAGTTACTGGGACAACAAAACTTATGTATCAGTTTGGGGTTGTATATTGATGATTTTGAAGTTTGTAACCCACTGGGCACCTCTCGAAAACGTCACAAGATTACTGCAGTATATTGGGTAGTTCTTAATTTACCACCTAGATTTCGATCTAATCTTTGTTCAATTCAGCTTGCTCTCTTAGGTAAAAGTGTGGATGTCAAACAATATGGTTATGAAAAGTTTTTTGAGCCACTGATTAAAGATATAAGGTGTCTAGAAGAAGAGGGAATTTTTGTGGAAGTTGTAAGCCAGTTTATTAAGGGCACTGTATATTGTGTGAGCGCAGATAACCTTGGTGCACATGGTCTGGCAGGCTTTTATGAAAGTTTTACTGTTGACAAGTTCTGTCGCTTTTGTTTGATAAGTCGGGACAAAATTGCAACGACTGAAGTTAATGACTTCCAATTGAGGGGTGTTGATCAACACAATTCATTTCTGGAAGAGCTTAGGCAAACTGACAACCTCCAAAGTGTTAATGGGGTAAAAAGGGAATGTGTACTGAGCAAACATTTACTATTCTTTCACCCAATAACCGGATTTCCTCCAGATATTTTGCATGACCTTTTTGAAGGCGTCATTCCTTTGGAGTTGTCCTTATGTTTAAAAAAGCTGATCTCAAAAGGGTTCATTACATTTGATACATTAAACAACTTCATAAAATCATTTCCCTACAAATATTTGGACAAAGTAAACAAGCCTCAAAAAATTCCAAAAACAAGCTTTGAGAAAGGAACAGTTTTTGGTAATGGACATGAAAATTGGACACTGCTGCGCTTACTTCCTTTTATAATTGGATGTAAGATACCAGAACAGGAGCCAGCTTGGGAGATTTTAATGGACCTCAAGGAAATTGTTGACATTGTTGTCTCAAACAGACTCACTGAGGAAGCATTGTGTTATTTATCTTGCAAACTACTGGATCATCGCTTGTTGCTTACCAGTACCTTTCCGGACTTCAGACTACGGCCAAAACACCACTTCATTGACCACTACCCACATCTTATACGCTGCTATGGGCCGTTAGTGGAATTGTGGACGATGAGATTTGAAGCAAAACATAGCTTCTTTAAAAAGGTGGTCCATGACACTCACAACTGGAAAAATGTGCTGCTAACTCTTTCCTTGAAACACCAGCAGATGATGGCATACCATCTGGATAGTGGGAACCTTTTAAAACCAAAGCTCTATGTTGACAATGTGAAAGTGGTCAGGGTTTCAGAATTGGATCCATCACTCAAGTGTGAAATACAAAAGAAGTACCCTCATCTAGACAGTGTGTCTCTGTCTAAAACCGTTCATCTTTTTGGGACACAGTATGTGGCGGGCATGATTTTATCTGCTGGGCAATGCAGTGGCCTCCCAGAATTCCATAAGATTGTGACCATTCTTGTCAATGCAGAGGAGGTGACATTCATTTGTAAAAGACTGAGTTCCTGGTACATTGAACATTTCAGGTCCTATGAGCTTGTAGAACACACCTGTGCAGACCTTCTTGTGCTGGATCCAGATGTGCTGACGGATTATCACCCTCTAACAGCATACACAGTTGGTGGAAAGCTGATGGTGACCCCAAGGACGTACCTTCTCTATTAAAGCAACTTTATAATGGTATGTTCTCTCCCCTCCACCCTGTCTCCTATTCTGATCTCCCCTCTCACCCACCCTTTTTCTCTCTTTTCCTCTATTGTCCTCTACTTCAAGACTCATTTCCCCTTGCTTTTTCTTTTCTTCTCCACACACTTCTGTCTTCTATCACTCTGCTATCCTCACCAACTTAGCTCTCTCTCCTTTGTTTTCTCCTCATTAAGCATTAGTTTTGTGCTGAATGAATTGAAGGTTTTCCCAAGTGTAGGCCAGTTGAGTACAGTGGCTGTAGAAAATGAAAACTTGGATATAGACTTAAGCTTTATTTAATTTTTTTTTGTGTGTGTGTTTTTTACATTTGTAGACTAAATCATTTGCAAATCAAATGTAGTCAGCAGATTCATCTGGAAAAAGGCAGCTGTATGGTATAGGTGTCAACTGTCTTCTAATTGGGTTTGGCTATTGATTTTCTGCCAACTTTTCTTTCTCCTCTTTTCAGACTTTGTTACTTCGGGTAGTTCTTTCCTCCAGAGAAGCCCGGCGAGTCCAGCTTCCTGAAGTACCAGCATCTGTGGGGCAATTGATTGATATACTTAAAGAAAGACTTGAACTTGCAGGTGACTTCTCACTACAGTTTGAGGATCCAGATTTCGGAAATGCACTATGCAATCTTACAGCAATATCTGAATTACCAGCTGAGCGTGCAGTCCTGCATATAATGTGGAACTGTGATTCATCTACACTTAACCAATCCATTGCTTCAGTGTCCTCTGCTTCAGTCTCTTCCCAGGACACAATAAGTGTTCACTCTGATGATTTCAGGCCTAGCTGGACCGATACTATCCAGATGAACTTAAGGCATGTGTCAGAGTGGCCCTCTCCATTTTCTATTCCCAAGTTTTCACATGATGTTGAACTGAAATTGTGTAAGGCTAATGTGACATATGAAAAATCTAAGAAGGGCCTTGCAGTGACAAGAGACATGAAGATGGAGATTTTGGATAAAATTGCAGAGGCAGTTTTTGAAATTAAAGCCTACCCTGAGAAAGATGAGGTTGAGTCAGTGGCTTCTGCACTGGTTCTCAAATATCCATGCCTGAAGGAGCCAGGTAGCATCACAGGCTACGAGGGATGGAAAGCAAGTATCAAGCACAAACTTGGAAACTACAGATCAAAGCTTCGTCGGGCAGGCTGCAATGAGGTAAATGTAAACAGGAAAAGGAAAGGAGAAGATGAAGCCAGCAGTCCTTTCACCCTTAAAAAGCCCAAACGTGGAGAGGTCAATCATGTCCCAGATTATCCACAGCACCATGATGATTCTACTCTTGAAGAGGAAAGAGTTGCTCTGGTCAGTGAAATGAAGAAGAAACAAAAGAACTTGAAAGTCATACAGCAGAAGATGGCGCTGACATTTTCTCTCAGGCGGAGAGAGGTTGTGGAGTGTCAACCTATGGTATCTGAGGTCCAGGAGAGATGGCCTGGGCTGTTTTCCTCTGAGGAGGTAAGAGTGTCCAAATTTATTTATAATTTAATTATTATTCAAATTGGGCATGATTTATACTAGATGGACTATTATTGAAGTAGTACAGTATTTGCTGGTGTAATCCATTGGCCAACTTTATTATACCTTGTGCAACCACTCCACTCAATGCCCTTGCCAATGTTGCATTGAAATCTGTGACCCATTAGATTATTTGACCTGTCCTAATATTCTTACCCTGAACATTTCTGCCAGTACAAGAAAAGAGTCCCCATGCTAAATCAAAATAGTTCTTCCTGTGAAACAGAAAGTCAATCACATAATTTTTGACTTGGCATGTATTTTTTTTTCTTTTAATGCTGGAAATAGGACTTCTATAGACTGAGATTTTTAGGGAAAGAATACTAAGGCAGATCACATAATCTGATCACAGATTTTAGTGCAACGTAGAACATAATATGTATTTGCATATTGATACTGTTTTTTGTGGAGGGTGTTTCTATTCCTGTGCAAAATGTGTATTCATGAGAGATTTTTGAAGTAGGTTTTGCGGTTGATAACACAGTCAGGCATATAACATGGTGCAGACTGTACAAGGCAGCTACCCAGGAATTTTCTGTGCTGAATAAATGGCAATATTTTGGTTATTGTCTTGTTTAGATATCTGAAGAATTTCATCGGATCACAAGCAAAGACCTCCTGGGGACCTTCAATGCATCCCTCGACAAATTTGTGCCTGGCCTGCTGAAACTATACCGGTCTAAGAAGGGAGCTCTTGGTGAGGACATGGAAGACCTCTTGGATAAACTTGATGAACAAGTAAGTGCTCCTTTAACTGACATTTTTAGAAGAGAGTATACCTTTGTCATAACAGGAAAAAAATGTTGGCTTCAGCCAAAACACATCAATGGAAATGAATGTCATCAGTCATTACTTTGTTTTTATTTGGCGGTATTTTATTTAATTTGTAAAAAGAAAGTAAAATTGTTAAAATGGTGTTTTGTTTTTTTAAGTTTTACATGTTGCTGGGCCTGATCTGTATTTTATTTTCATTACTATAAGAGTTCTGATTTTGCATCGTGTGTAGGTACACCACGTTACTATACTAATTTAAATGCTTGTTTTCCACTGAATACTCTTTAGACATCTGACATTGTGTCCCACCGAAACACAGCAGCACTGAGAGGCCTGCCCATTTTCCTCAGAGAGGATGCAACACAGGTTTTCCTGAAGTGCTTAGTAAGTACAAAAAAGTAATGCAAGAAAAACTAATTGCTATGAGATGTTTTTAAAAGATGATTTAATCCAAAATGGAAATGTCCACTTCCTTAGTGTAGTCCAGATAATTTTATGGTGAGGATTGCAGTTGTCATAACTCTCGCTGCTTTTTTTTTTTGTTGGGGAGCACCTGGGCATTGTTAGTGGGTGTTCAACAGCAGAAAATATTTTTGTACAAAACTCATCACAAGGTTGGTTGGTGAAAGATATTGTGCCGTTAATTAAAGGAAAATAAGCTTTTTCTTTTTAAAACCTCCATGAGTCAAATGAGCATCATGGTATAGAGGTTAAAGTTAAGATCTTTAGAAATGTATTTTGTCTTTAATTTTTCTTAGCTTTCAATAATTCATATTTTACTTTTCTTCTCTTCAGGACACTGACATTTTGGATCCAGTGTTGAACGGTGCATCAGTTGCCATCCTCACCATCCTGCAAGATGACGATGCCAATACTTCTGTGCGAGAACATGCTGTTGTGTTGGAAGGGGACATCGTGCTACATAACATTCCAGACCTCTCTAGTGCCTTGGCATACCTCTTTGGCCTTCTGTATGCCCTCAACATTGATTATCCAAAGCAGATGAGTTATACCTTTGAAGCAATTCAGGGCATCTTTTTTGAACTCGGTGGCTCTCGATGCTCACAGCGCATAAGGTCTCTAAAAACAAAGCTTTTGCTGTGACTGTTAATGGGGAAGCCAGACATGAGTTTAACTTGTTCTTAAACATGTTCAAGTGCATTGTAGAGTCATGTAAAAAAAAAAAAAAAACAGTAGTTCAACCCCTTTCCCTCTATATAATCGTTCACCTGTTACAAAGAGTTGCATATTTAGTGTTTGAACTGTTAAAATTAATTAGGAATAAGTGAAGGAAAGAGGGAGGAAAGGAAGAAGGGAGAAAAGAAGGACCAGTCAAAACAGAATGGTTCATTTTGACCTGGTTGGTCAATATGAAGGTGAAGTGGATAAGTGATTATTTGAAATGTAAATATTAGTCAGATGAATCTGTATTATTGAGAATCAATGGTGAAATTCTGTCTTGTAGGATTTTAAAAGATTTGTTATAGTGTTTTTCACTCCACCTGAAGCATGGAACTGGTATTTTACCTGATAGTTCGCTGTTCATTGATGGTAACACTTCTAATAACTTTTGACTTCTGTAGTTCATCATAGCAAGCCCATGTAAAATGTCAATGTCTGGGTACATAGGCAATTGTTTGTTGCACTACCCTATTTAGTGTGCAATAGTTAAGTTAAGCTTTTACAAGACAGTCAGGGTGTGAACTAAGCTGCTGGACACTTTTCTTTTTTTCTGGACTCTGGAATTTTAATGTCTCTGCTGGGGTGCTCAAAGCACCCTAAAGAAACTGGCAACACGTTTTTTTCTGTTTGTTTGCTTTTTTACTGAAATTCACCCCACTGCCCATGACCTTCTGAAATATACTGAAAGCACTGTTGAAAAAAATAAATACGTTTTTACATACCATTCAGTTGTGCTTTGTTTTATTCTATATCTGTTTGAGTGTTTTTTCAAGTACGATAACAGGATACATTTTTCTTTATTAATATTGGTAAATTTTCAACTCACTGGAGTAAGAATTGTATGATTATTCAACAAGAATATCTGTGTTTGGTGAATTTAGGAATACATGGCCTTGGAGGGAATAATTGTATGTTAATTCAACAGGAATATCTTTGTTTGGTGAAGGCAGAAATACATGGCATTGAAACCAGAATTTCTTTGTTGGACTTACAGGATTATCCTAATTAGGTGAACAAGTAGATCCAAGTTGGCAGAACATGAAAATATTAGTTAAGTCAACTACAGTTGGCACAAGTTGAGAAAACTCAAAAATCTCTTGCATCATGTTGCCTTGAAATTTTAAGTTTTCTCAACTTTTTCTTTTTTACAGTGTGACTATACACAATACTTTTGTAACACTGAGATAAGCTTTCTTTTCTTTTTCTTTTTTCACTCAAACACAATCGGCTCATTCCATTAAAGATGCCAGTGTTACAGTTGATGTGAGCCCAACTGTTGCTTAAGATGCTTTGTTTTAATTGTAAATGTATGACTCTCATAACATCCAGTTTGTTACACATAAAGCCCTCTTGATGTAACATTTAGCCAAAATATTGACTTCAGACTACAACCAACTCAGACAAATGGCTCCACAAGCTTAAAAATGACTAGCAGGTGGAACAACTACATAACTGGGTCCAAAGTGTCAAGAAAGAAAGAAAGAAAAAGAAAAAAGTAAGGAACTTTGATTGTGTAGTTTACTTTACACCTCCATCACTTTGAGTTTTGACTCAAAAAAATCATATTGTGCTGTAGCTGTAGTCTCTTTTCAGCTCAGCAACTTTCTGACACCTGCTCCCTGCCTGTGACTCCATATCATTGCTGGTGTGTGGATTCAAATGTCAAAATGAAAATCTTTGAAAAGAGTTTCTCCTGGTAAATTCACCTGCAAATATGGAAAATCGGTCCCTATATTTACTCTGCTTGTCCAAACCCCATGTGTAGAGGTCCTATGCTCCAAACATACCCTGACATCTCTCCCGATTTTGTCAACAATAAAGTCTCCAAAAACTGGTTTGATTATTTCCTTTGGTTTCTAAACAGGTTTGTGAATATTTATTCTGCAGCTAATTAAACTGTAGAAGTATGATATATGTATGATGCCTGTGTGTTTTCATTTGATGCTAAAGGTTATTTTTAAAAACATTTTCATGTGTTTTACCTGATGTATCTTTGCCTCTTATTTCTCCCTCTGGGTCTTTCTTTACGGTTCGAATCTACCACATTTTTTCTGCACTGATGACACCAAAAGCAGGTCATATCTATTAAACAACGTTCAAGTTTTTTCATACTAATTAAAGGAAAAATGGCAACCGCAGTAAAAACTCTGCTGCTAATTCCTGTCCGATCTTGTGTTTTTCTTGCCTACTGTTGTTATATAACCACTTTGTAATATAATCGTCTTTTTCCTCCTTTATCCTCGATGTTCCTTTATAATTGAATTTTTACATGTCATCAATGAGAGCAGATAAGGCCATGGGAGCACTGAGCTTCTCAGGATTCGTTGAGTCATGTGAGGATACACGCAGAGACAAAGCGACTTGTGAGCATCTGAGCCGCTGTCCCTGAAACATCAGACATGGAGAGACGCCATCTGCCCGGAGAGCTGCAGACGGACAGATTGTACACATGATCAGTACAATCAGATTCAGTTCTCTATGTGTGAGCATCAGCGGGGGCAGCAGCTGGTGCTGAGGGGCAGTCAACATCTGTAGATTCATGTCTATCAGACACTGATGTTCTGCACATGCCTCAATTTTAATGGCAATACAAATGAAACCATGCAAAGAATTTGAAAAAAGCAAAAAACTGAAAGATTACTTTACTAATCCATGTGTAAAATAACCCCTTATCACTTAATTTCCTTTCGCTGCTCAGCTCTCACACAGTGGCTCAGCTAGAGTGGAGCGTGCTTCTGTCCTCTCAGTAAGTGAGGTAGACAGTAGACAGCGGTGAGGAGGGCTGTGCAAAAGCAAAACACATAAATATGCCTGACACCCGTAAACGAAGCGGCATTTGGCAGCAGTTTAAAGACGTTTTTGTCTTGTCTCGACTTTGTCTTGGTCTCGATACCCTCTGGTCTTGGTATTGTCTTGGTCTTGGTTTAGGCGGTCTTGACTACACGTCTACATATTACTTACCACACTTTGACCAGATGGTGATGCTGGCAAATTACATCCAAAAACTATATGTGTGCAATGGAAAGACACATAGAGAAAACAACACAAATATGGTCCACAGGTCCAGTTTAGGTAAATTGTAAATGGATTGGTTCTTATATAGCGCTTTTCTACTCTGAGCACTCAAGGCACTTTTCACAACTTGCCTCATTCACCCATTAACACAAGCACTATTTTCTACTCTCCTATGTAAGTACTCCATCTAACATCCACACACATTCATACTCCAATGGATACACTAAAGAGCAACTTGGAGATAGTATCTTGCCCAAGGATATTTGGCATGCAGACTCCAGCAGAACCACCAACGTTCCGATTTGTAGTTGACCTGCTCTACAACCTGAGCTACAGCCACCCAAAGGTGAAGCCTAATAGACAGCTAGCAGATACAGACACCTGCATCAGGATATTGCTCAATCAAATCAGATTTCCCCATAACTCCAGTATCCAGAAAAAATATAGAGAGTTTTTATGAAGGAGGAAATTAGCTACAGTAATTACTTTTTGTACCTAGCTGTAAATTTGCTTATTTCTGCAATAAAGCTGGACATTTAAAAATGGGAGCCTATGGGGATTAACTCATTTTTTTAGCCTGTCTCAAGTTAACATTTGAGAAAGTGCAGCTTTCTGCACATCCACATTGGCTTTTATGTTACAGCCATGGGTTGGTGCTTGTGTTTGATACTGCAGTACTGCTGCCAATGTGCATTACACTAGAGTAAATCAGACTCCAAAAGGTTTGTGATCCCCTCCAGAAATAAGGTTTCTTTGAATTCAATAAATCCTGCTGTAATCCAAACAATCAAATCCTGACTGAATGCTTCCATCTGACTAAAGGCTAAATTCTGCAAAAGTCTGTATGTTTTTTAATTCCTCACCTGAAGGACTAACAGATAATCGACTCTGCACTGTTATTCTTGTTCCGACTGGACCACCTGCTCTCCTGACTGATTCTCTACCGGTGTTAGAGATACCATAAACAACAGCTGCAGCTGTTTCAATCGAACCCTGTATTCGACATCTAATTAGATGTGACTGTTTTTTCTGGTACATGAAGCCCCCACAGGGACTGTCCCCGGAAGGAGGCCAAGGCTATTCTGCAAATCTCTGAACCATGTCAGTTTTTGATGATTAAATTTGTGATAAGGGCATTGTGCCAGATTATGTTAGGACAAAAAAGCCATTTGGGGTTGAGCTGATTCTGATGTTTGCCCAATGCTTTCCTTCGGTTTTGTAAATTTTGGCCTGCTGCTTCCTGTGATGCTTCAGGGCAAAGACAGAAAGGAATGAAGGGAGACGGAAAGAAAAAAGACAGCCAGACACACAGTGAAACATGAATCAGCTACATGAAATAAGTAAGACTTCAAATAATTTTAAGAGAATTTTGAATGAAAAGGAGCAGTCATACAAGGAAGACAGAATACCATCAATATTCATAATAACCTTGGAAAATAGAATGAAATTGTTTATTTGTGTACCTACAATCGGCACGTTACAAAGATGAAAGGGTGATAAGAC